CGGCATCTGAAATGAGAGGGCGGGACTTGATTTCGTCCTTCGGGAATTGATTGGATCGTTGGAAGTTGGGGCATTGCTAACAAAATGGAGGCAGATCCGAATGCCAGTTTGCAGTTAGTTGTGGGGGGATTTCTCTCCACTGGATTCACAGCCGATACCTAAGCATGAATAAATGTTTTATTTATTAAGGATGACGACGACGATCAACGGCACAAAACATGACCAAACAGCGCGCGCGACAAAGAGAGAGACTGCCTGAATGACTGAGCGCGTCCTCCATCAGGTTAAGTCATATTCATGAAAAAAATTAGTTTGCGATGTCCTAAGAGTAATGTTGTCGTAATATCCTAAAATCTTTTCAATGTTTAGGGGTAATATACTCCCTCATGACTGGTGTCAGTGCTATAAAGTGAAGCATCAGCTTCAGCTTTTCCCCTTGTCGTTTATCCCAGCGTTTACCCCTCACGTCACTAGCTCCGCCCTTGCGCCATAGCTCGTGACCGTTAGAGAAGAGGAGTCGTTTTGAGGGGGAGGGGAGTTTAACGTTTTTGATTAAAGATTAAGAGGGCACATGAATTTAAAAAAAAAGAATGAAGTGCACGGATAAATTATTTATAATAAACACTACAGTATTCCATAAAAAAATAAGAATTTTCTATTTTGATTTCATGGTGACTTTAATATTGTTATATTTTACACACTATACTGTCTGATTTTGATAAATTTTGCCTAGGAAAACCTAGGGTTACCTATAAAACCACAGCAGAACTGTTGTCCAATCAACAAATACAAGTGTTTCATTCTGAATGAATCTGCGATTTGAACAAATCGGGAGAACCAATAATTCAATGGCCCATTCATAAAGAGAGCCATTTACTTAATTCCTGAATGAATCAGCCATTTGAACAAATCAAATGAAAGAATAACTGAAGACATTTACAGCCACCTATTGGTTATCAATGGTAATAAAAATATTTTGGTTACCATTGACATCCACTGCATGAACAAAAAAATATGTTCCGTATTACAAAAAAATCGTATAACTCGAAAATATTACGGGGGGGACAATAAAATAATTTTTATTGTGTGGTCATTTGTGTTACACCTCATGTATACATTATTTTCTGATAATTCAACGGCCTGTTGTCAATTATTCCTTACATATAATTATACACATACACCGTAGTAATCTACAGTTACCACACTTCAAAACATTATTCAGATGTTGCATTTCAAAACATTTGTCAGGTTTTTTTTTTTTTCCTTTTTCTTTAAAACTTCCTAAAAAAGTGCACTGATGTATGTCATAGATTAATCTGGGATCTGGGTTTGGCATATGCAGTGCATCCCATGTGGTCTACGTCTACTGTATATAAAATGTTTATTGTGTTTTAACTGATTTTAAAAAATGACATACTTGACTTATTCAGATATATGTTTGCAGAGAGTTTCTGGGCACACTGTAAGTTTAAGGCAGTTTAGGCTGTGTTTGTATGTTCTACTTACAGCATTTTTGAGGGTATATTCTAAGGTAATACTGTTGATTTCTTCAATAGTATATGAGGACACGTCCAGACCTGAGGGCTGACTGTCATTGATCATAAGCATCTGATAGTACTCTTCATTGGCTGCAAAAGCAAAGAAAAACATGCAAGGCTTACACAAAATTAATATACAAAAATATAGCATAAATTGTGTTTGTGGTTGTCTGACCTTTGACTTGTTTGACGCAGCGCAGTGCATATCTGAGTGTGTGAAGTGTGCTTGCCCGGCCCTTGCTGCGTTTGTCATGAGGGAGGTGATATTTCAGCTCTTTTAAGGTCTTAAAAAGCTCCTTCTGAGACTTAGCCTTTGCTGACTGTTCACTACTGCAAAAACAACACACATACAAAGTGACACTAGTATTTATCCTATTGTACCTACTGTATTTCTTAAAAGGGGTCACTGCATGTTTTACAATGTAAAACATTCTTGAACTTACTGAATTAACACTCACTCACTAGTTCAAAAAGAGGAGCTGATTGACTTCTTTATTAAGTGATACAACTGTATTATAGCTATTTAAGGCCTGTGGTTTTGTTACCTGCAGCCGCTGGTTGATGGGTTGTCTTGCTCTGAACTGACCAAGCTGAATGCATTGTTGCTACTGGGAGGTGAAAGACTTTGAGAGTTTGAGCTACAGAGGAAAAATAAGAGGTGAATAGAACAACAAATATAAGTAAAACACACATAAATGACTGAAGAATTTCTAACAAGAGGCGTTATCATCAAGACCTTACATAATGCTTTATTTTATATTAGGCTGCCTGTGTTGGCAGGGTCTAATATAGTGCTTATTAATGCTTTTTCAAGAAATGCAAAAGTTTAATTTCAGTAGAACTAAAATATTTTTTTTAATTCCTGTAAATGTTAGTACCGGTATTAAAAGTCTTAAATTGTTTGCAAAGTCAGCCTTCTAAGCCAAAGGGTCTAAAATAGGTTTTTATCACAAATATTATATATTTTGTTGTTTTGATAACAAACATGATGAACTGAATTTTGCCTAGAGGCCAGCATACCAGCCAGAAAGGACCAAGGATGCTACTCTGTACTCAAACTGATTATTCCCTTGATGCCTAGTGTGATTATTATGCTTCAAAAGACTTTATTAAATAAATACTGTGCATATGTTACAGAATCACATATCAGTATCTAATTTGTTATGTGGACTTTATTGATGACTCTTGTCGAATACAAACATAGGAACTTGAAACTCAGGGCTTCACTCACTTTGGTTTAAGTGGATGCATGATAATAATAATACAATTTTATTTTGTTTTATATTAAATTATTATTATTAGGGGCCAAGCACTGAAAGTGTATAGACACTCACTGTATCTGTTAGTGCTCTTTTTCTTCTGGTTGAGTATATGGCAGCTCATAGACTTGTATGATAAAAAGTTATGAAATCGGGCAAACAGATAGAGGACAGCCTCAACATTAACCACAGACAATTTGGAGACTATCTCAAAGCTGATAGTGCTACTAACTGTCCAAAGTTGCACTCACGTTTATGCTAATAACTTTTGAACCATTTTGATTTTCATTAAAATCGAATCATATCATCTTTAGACAATGCCAATACAAAGTTATGTAATTAAAGTTAATTAGTCAAACCACTCTCATATAACATGTGAACGAATGACTAAAGAGAATGCCAAAATGGATTTGAGGTTATATTGCTGCAATGCTTTAGCGTATTCAAACCAAACTTGGTGTGTTATGATAACCATAACCTGAAGGAACCTGCACAGTCTCAGCACAGTACCACCTAGTGGTCAGGACATATGAAAAATGGCTTTTTTGTTTATAACTTCTGAATGGTTTGGTCAAAACACATGAGACAGTCCCTTTAGATTCAGTGCTGCATACAGAGTCAAATGGTACCCAATCTCTCCATGTTGCCTGCTGGCCATTTAGAATTTAGACATAAAGATCGCTATATTTTACAAACACATTAGTGTATCATTACATATCTGTATATGTCACTATAAGCTGAAGGTACTGAAAAAGTTTTGAGTAATATAACGAAATTTTAAAAAAGGCCAATAGCTTCTCAGTATTTTTGCCTACTGGTCTTAATAGATTCATTGAGTCTTATCTAGAACAATGATACCAAATATGCCATAGTCAGATGAACTTCCTGTCTACCATTTGGAATTTCTTACACCTTTCACATCAATTTTGTCACAGCATCACCTATTTGTCAAAACTAAGTGATAATCAATTAAAACAACAAGTGATTGTATTTATGATTTTTCAACAATTTTGCTTAAAATCATCAACAGATGTCTTTAATTACTTTTTTTTTTTCAGTTGGCCTGATGTTCCCTGCCATACAGAACTTGGTTAGTTCCTCATTTTTGCCTATGCTGCGCTTGGCCCTTTAATTGCTGCTTACAGCTGTTTAGTTCTCACTTTTATTATTAAGCAATAACACACAAGCAAGCATGCTGTTGTTCTGAATATATCTGGCCACAGCAGCATCATACCATAGGTAATAAATAGGGCTGTCGATTTAACACATTAATTTGATGCAATTATGGAAAAAATAACATTAAAATTACTAATGCATTTAACACAACACATCAACCATTGCATGCAGTTGCTGATGAACATGATGCTGGACAATGACTGACTAGAATGCAATCATATGCCCCCAAAATTCAAGACACGAGGGCAAAAAGGGTCCCTTGAATTGGTTTTTGTCTTATATTTGTCTTATATAAATATTATATAGTTTAGCAATATCACTCGAACAAGAGTGCTGTTTTTTCCTCAAATATCTGTTATGCAATGTATATATATTGCAATGTGATATTGACTGTTGTTCATAGCAATGCTGCATATCAGATTGATCATCCAGGTAACTTAAACTGGTATTACTTTCATGTCCCTCATTTCACACCACAGACTCGCACACTCAATTAATAAAAATGCAACTGGTACCATCTTGCATCTCAACAATCAATTGTATTATGTTACACGTTGATACACGTCTTGTATCTCCTCACCTCTTGTTACTCCCTGATGATGCCATGATTGCAGAATCTTTTCCGTTTCCACTGGAACTCCCCACAGACTCATTTCCATGTGATTCAGTACTGTGGGACTCGTTACCGTGAGATTCTGTGCCACTTCCACTAGAGCCACTTCCGCCCATCTCCATGTCCTCATGCATCTGTGTTTGAGGCCTCGGAGAAGTGGGTGGGTCGTGACTGCTGTCACTCCCCTCAGAGGCCACGCCCATGTGGTGCAGGTGAGACATGGAGCCACACGGGGACTCAGACTCGCCCCTGTACAGGTAGGGCTTTGGCTCTGTCTCACCTGACATGGACAAGGTCAAGCTTTACATTTCAGGTCAAAGGTCCTCTGACCCAATTACTTGTTGAAGCTGTGAAAACAAATGGTAAGATAAGGTAAATGCATTAATGTTTTTTTCCCCCCAAATAAATTATATTTATTGAGTCAGTGCGAGTCAATGACAGGGTGTTAATTTTTTGTCCAGATCTATGAATTTATTAAAAAATACATAAAAAATGCAATTCATGCATACAATGACTTCAATATGCTTATTTTATGATAAGCACGTTTTTAATTTCTCAGTTAAAATTAATGCCACGGTGATACAGACCCTCATAACTGTAGTAATTAATGTAGTGCTGCTAGAAAGTTATTCCAAAATTATTTAGTCCTTTAGTCACAATGCCTTTAATTTTCATGCTTTAGTGTAAGTCATTTGTTCAGTCTGTAGTTTTCATACAAGTGATAAAGATATTGTGAAAGATACGATGGAATTTATAAGATCTTTTAAACATTTTCCCTTAGTTTTTATAATTACATAATGAGACCATTTTTAAATTAATTTTCATATTCTCTGAAATCTTAAAAAGTTATTTTTTTATATTTGTAAATGTAGTTTTTTAGGAGTTTTTTCAGAATGCATTTGGACCATTTCTGAGTCTTTAATGAAAAAAATAAATATGTTTAAAATTCAAAAGCATCAATTTCTCAGTCCCCACTAGCTACCTAATTGTCGGGTCTCGGGTCTGATCACCTGTTCCTTGCTGTCTCTGCGTGTGTGTTGTTGTGCGTGGCTTGTTTTGACAGCTCGCCACGTGCGCACTTGTCAGCATGATTGTTTCCCCGCCCTCCTTTGTTTCTCTGCTCGCCTCTTGTTTCACACCAGGTTCTTATCATCTCATTAGCTTCTCCTTATAGCTCCTCGTGTTTCTGTCTTTTGTCACATCGTTGAGAGTTATTCCCTGGTTCTGACTGTCATTGTTGGTATCACTCACCAGTCCTGTCTTGTCTCGTTCAGGCTCCAGTGCTCGTAGATTCCAGTTTATTTTCCCGCACCTCTCTGTGCGTTCAGAAACCCGTGGGCTCCCTCCGGCATCCGCCTTCCCTGGGACTCTGCGGCCTCGTTGTTGGGCTGCTCAGCCTCTCGCTCGGATTAGCGAGCTGCCCCGCCGGCTTCGTCTCCACTGCCGCTGTTGCGGCTCTGTTCCTTGCTGTCTCTGCGTGTGTGTTGTTGTGCGTGGCTTGTTTTGACAGCTCGCCACGTGCGCACTTGTCAGCATGATTGTTTCCCCGCCCTCCTTTGTTTCTCTGCTCGCCTCTTGTTTCACACCAGGTTCTTATCATCTCATTAGCTTCTCCTTATAGCTCCTCGTGTTTCTGTCTTTTGTCACATCGTTGAGAGTTATTCCCTGGTTCTGACTGTCATTGTTGGTATCACTCACCAGTCCTGTCTTGATGGATTCAGCAGGATCGGATCCGCTTCGTTCTGCTCTTGTGCAACAGGGAGTTTTACTGGGGCTAAATGCCCAAGTCGCTGAGCTCCTCACGCGCGTCGATGATCTTCAGTGGGAGGCGCCTTTTCGACTCTCTTTCCAGGGAGGTTCGCACACTGGCCACGCCCTTCTGGATTCGGGGGCTGAGGGGAATTTCCTGGATTCTGCCTCTGCTCACAAGTGGAACATTTCGACCATTCCCCTGGTCAAGCCCATTACGGCGTGGTCATTATCGGGCAATCCCCTCACTACCATCACTCACGTCATGGTGATATATCTCTGTACAATAAAGCCTTTGTTGATCCTGTACAATAAAGCCTCTGTTGATCCCGCACCTGAATCCAGCCTATTCCCTGACACCTAATACTATGAGAGATTTTTAAAATGATGATTATTATTATTATTCATTGCTATATAGAAACCATAGATTGCTGGTCAAGCATCCATGATATTATACAACAATCGAAAGTCACATGGGAAATGCACATACCTGACTCACACAGATTAATGTTTCTGATAGTTGCTGGAAATAGTCCAGTTTCACCAACTAAATTACAAAATAGCATTTTTCAGGGCAGTCACTACAAATTTATTTCAATGAATACATATATTAAACCCTAAACAAACATGTAACTTAATTTCATATTTTTAGGTGTGCTGCTGAAGAAATAAAACATAATACATAATAAACAAACCTCCATTGATATAGTTCCAGTCAATCAAAACCTATAGGGCCGACAAAAAAACAAGCCTGCAGTTACATATTTTGTCCGTGACTATTGTTGACGTTATTTTGAGGTGCATATTTGTACTTTTTGCCATGGTAACGTAAGACGTTCCATGTGAAAACAGTTTATTGCATGAGCTGGTCTTTGTCTTTCAGAGAGCTTGCAATAGGCAACATGTACTGAAGAATTACATTTAAAACTATTCATATCAGTATCATTTAAATACATTTGTTTTATTTTCAGCCCAAACCCCCACCCAGTCCGCCTTTCTACACTCACACACGTTGACCTGCAATGCACTGCACGGTACACTGACACAGTTATGTAAAAAGTCGTGCTACCACCGACAAAATTCGTTTTATGAACTTCTTAATTGACATACAGGTTGTAACAAGGAAAAACCGCATATACTCTTGTATTTATAATGTAGTATAATCATTACAACTCTATGAAAATATAGGAATACTATACAAAATGGAACGATAAGAAAATTTCGGCGCATGCGCGGTACGCGACAGGTTATGCAAAAATTTGTATTTAAACCAACAGTGAAAAAATGAGGAGTTCTAATGTCACAAACCAGCAAGAGCACGCTTGATTCCCGATCCAGGTCTTTGGTGATATCAGTGTTGTCCCGGCTTACTTTTGTCACAGCGAGGCACGTATGAATCCTGACATACTGTACAATACTTCACCGGTCCTTATTACTGATCACTGAAAGCAGTGGCTCACGGTCTGACCCGAGCGGCAACCTCCCGCTCTCTCTCGTGAAGCCAACAAGGAAGTGACTTAAACTGTAATTCATCAACTGGCCGCTAGAGGCTGGCTGCAAAAGGGAGTCAACCCCATAGACTCCCCATGTAAATATTAAGCCTTAAAATTCTGCATAATTAGGGCGTGGCCACTTGAGTGACAGGTGGATTGCCGCTGCTGTCTCTATCAGCCGCTGAACTTGGCAGTCGAATTATAATTATGACTCGTCAAAATACAATTGTTCCTACATTAAATTATATTTATGGATAGTCAAAACAAACTTTTAAATGCTAAAACGGCTTGCGATAGTTTATATAAATCGTGAAGGCGCCGCTCGTGGAATCCCATGCTGACGCTATGATCTCGGAAATAGCCGTATAAAGTTCAAAATGACGGTAACGTTGCTACGTTATATAAAGACAACATAGAATTGCTCGATATCTAAGTACTTCTACACCCCGCTGCATGCTTCATTTTTATACAGTGGTAATAACTACAAAACTACGTTCGTTTTATGTTGCGTTCTTTATTAGACATAACTTTTTGATTAACCTGATTTGGATTTTTATGGTACCGTGTACTGATGCACATGTCTACCGTTACGCGATTTCGTAGTTTAGGCTTACTTACGTTCACTATTATAACAGCACAGGGGTCACACCCACTGACCCACACATACACAAGCATTGCTGTGTCCCATCTTTGACAGAATGAAATGCAAACATCCGATTATGGATTATTGTGGATGATTGCCTAACCATATCAAGGAACTGTGTGAGAGGATTTGGTTGCAGACAGTGACGTGCATAGACTTCAGCAGGGACAGACGAATATAGTGACAGTGAAAATTAAAACATCAAAAGAATTAGTATAAAAAGTTTGGTACGCGTTTCAACTTTAAGTTGACTCATTTCTCATTCCTCACTCATAAAACGCTCATCTCCACCCTAATTCATCTCTCACCTCATCACTTTCTAATTTATTGGAACGGTCACTTCCTATCAACACCATTTGGTCTATTGTAATACTAAGAAAAACTTGTTATTATCCATTCTAGCTATTTTCAGTTATTAATATTCAGGACTGTAATAGCCAAATGACAGTGGATCATTAGGATGAACATCCTTTCTTTAGGATTCTGTAAAAATATAAATATATTAATAATATATAATGATGTGTGATAAATTAGATAATGCATCTAAAGATGATTCAAACTGCTCCAGACGGACCATCCCTGCCAACAAGTGACTACAACTTTCTAGTTTACAATATGCTTTAAAAACCATCATACTTATAAAGTATGATGTGATAAAGCTGTTTCAATGAGTCACTGGACTAAGGCCTTGTTTCACTTTAAAGATAAATGCCCTATCATTGCTAATTTTTCCTCCATCTCTCGTCACATTTACGTTATTGCTATCAGCAATTCAAATAGAACATAGCCTCAGAGGGCCCTTCTCATAATGCCCAGTAAGATTCAGTGAGTTCATTCAGTTTACTCTCCTCGTGCTGAATACTGTTTTGGTGAATACTATGAAAGGTCTGCAGCTTGTTTAAAGTGCATAGCCCAGGGATTTCAAACCCAGCTCCTGGAGGGCCACAGTCCTAAAGTTTAGCTCTAACCTGCTTCAACACACGTACCTTTAGTTTTCAAGTAATCCTGAAGACCTCGATTAGCTGGTTAAGGTGGGTTTGTTCTCCAAGACGAGGATTGTATACTGTACACTAATGATGGGCGCGTTCGAAACACTGCTTCACGAAGCTTCGAAACATTTGCGAATCTTTTGTTTCGAATCAGTGTTTCGAAGCGCGTAATATCAAACCGGCCAGGTCACGTGATTTTAGCAAACGAAGCTTCGTTAAGTCACACCGTTTCGAAACTCCGATGGTTCACCACTAGGGGTGTTGATCTCAAAGTGAACCCATGAACCACTTCTGGTTGCCCAGTTAATCATGTGACATGAAATCACAAGAAATTTTACGATAAAAATAAAGAATTCAGGGCCAGATGTTGTGGGTTAAACAAAAGATAACTTCCCTTTAACACAGATGGCTATATAGTTTTAAAAAATGTGTAAAAACATGCAGTAGGCCTACTTTCAACCTAAAAATCACATCATACATTAAAAATTACAAAATGAGCTTACGATAGAATTAAAACCACCTCCTTCTCCTGACTGATAACACTACTTTTGCCTGCTGGTTTTTATTGACAGATCTAATGAAAACAATTAATTAAATAATTACATAAATCAATTAATTCATTAAATAATTAATTTAGTTCATTGTGTGTTAAAGGGGTCATATGATGCTTTTTTAAAGATCATTATTTTGTGTATTTGGTGTAACAGATTATACTTAAATAAAACACATAAAACAAGCACCAATATTTAATAGTATTTAAGTGTTTATTATTTATTTAAAAAAAATGGTATTTCTAAAAAAACATTTCCGTTTGTTTTGTAAGTTTGGTCTGAGTTTTCGATGCTTTTACAACGTTTTCACCAGCAGGTGTGGTTGTTTCAAGTGTTTCGAAACATCGAATCATTTTAATAAGCCTTTTCACAAAAATCGGAAATTACATCAGCGCAGGGTAAAGTTAGTTCCGTTACAGGTCTGCGCCTATTATATCCGTATGCCCTTTTCTCAAATAATGCTCCTTACCTTTTCCGTTTTGTCTGTTTTCCAAGTTGTTGTTATATAATCTACAAAGAAATAACATTTTACTTGTAACTTATGGCCACTCAGACCGCTGACTCGAGATAATGCGCTCAACATAGCGCCGGATGGTTTCTCTCCATCTCCGGCAAAGTGCCTTTTTAAATAGTCTTTGATCTCCGGTACATTTCAGCGTATTAACTCAATTTACTCAGTAATTTCCCTCGAATCACCACATCATAAATTACTTAAATGACAACATGTATGACCAGAGGCACATTTTTCCAAGAATACAGTACAAGAATACAATACAGAATGAGGCCGGTTGAAGCATATTAAACTCAACAACTTAATTAGCCTTTTTCACAAAAATCGGAAATTACGTCAGCGCAGGGTAAATCTAGTTCCATTACAGGTCTGCGCCTATTATATTAGTAAGCTATGCCCTTTTCTCAAATAATGCTTCTTACCTTTTCTGTTTTGTCCGTTTTCCAAGTTGTTACTGTAGTGGATTTTTCTTGGGTGCGGCCAATGAAGTTGAGAAGCAGAGTTCCAGATGTCAAAAAATAAGACTTTATTGTCACATCAACAAAGCCGAGATAACGGTAACCGCATCTGAAGTCTTTGTCTGTCAGCTCATCTGTTTTATACCTTTTTCTCTCACCAAAGTTGGTAGTTCCGGTTTTTGTTATTGGTTATGCCTATCTGGTTTGCCACAATGACTAAATCTTGAGCACTGACTGTCCCAGGTCAAGGACATTATGGGCATTAAAACGCACTTGTGCTCATGTGCTCAGACATGTCTATCAGTAGAATTTGCTAGATCAGCCATTTTGGCCATTGTTATTACTGGTGGAATGTGCTAGATCAACCATTTTAAGTATCAAATTTGGCTACTTGTTCCTGTGTAAACTTCTAGAAATGACCCAGAGTATATTGGGTTATTTAAGGTAACTTGGTACAATCCAATGGAAACCACCAGTATCACACAGCGCAAAGCAGCCAACACAGTTAATCATTCAGCCAAAACATTCAATGTTTCAATGTTTACAACGCTTTGACGCACATACAAATATTTTTTACAACATATAATGGACAAACAAAGACTAACAGTCTAACTCTACTTAGTCTGCAGACACCTGATTCAGCCGCCCTTCCCTCATAAGCACCTCTCAAAGCCACGCCCCACTTTCTCTGGACTGCTCTTTGATTCCTGGACTTACTCACTTTGGGAAGTCTCTGAACAGGTTTTTTAGTGCCCCTTCTGGCACAGTGCACATCTTATATACACTACTTATATACAGAAGCTCTGTGTCCCTTGACACTGTGTACACAAAAACTTAATACTCTGATCAAAGCAACCCCTCCCTCATAAGCACCCCTCAAGGCCACGC